TTCGGACACAAAACTAGCGGTAATCTTTCACTTATATATTGTGTTAGCAGTGCGTTGTTTTTGTACCATTTCATCAGTGATTGTTGTACAGCTTGCAAGAAGTTGCGCTCATGCTAATGTTAGCATACGAATCAGATCGCAAATATAACTAGACGGCTCTGTGTTATCAGAGCGTGGGGGAAATGAGAAGTCTGTGAGTGAGTTGGGGGGCGGTGCTAAACATTCGAACCTTGCAGAAACGGGTATAGCTCCTTTAACTGTCAATAAACACATGGAAATAAGGAATAATATAAAGGCAGAATGCTTTGCAAACACTAAACCAATCAGCAGTCTCAATATCCCCGTGGTCTTAAAACTGCAAGTTTCCATAAGCAACAACAGAATCTCACGCAGTACAAAGCATTGTAAACTACATCGCTCATCATCGTATCCTGACAACAACATGGCAGAGAGCTGTGAAAGAAAAACACTTGCAATGAAACACTCGTGGAAAGATTTTGATTTCATTGTGTGAAAAAACGCTACTCGAGAGACGAAGGCGGCCGGACAGTCAAACCAGCTCAATACAGGAAACATGAACAAGTCTTCTGACGAAACATGAAACTCGCTCAAAGACAGTTGTGTTCTACAGACTCACCTTCCTTTTCGGTCACAAAACCTAAAAGGAATTTAAACTGTGTCGCGCAAGAACAGGCTGGGCTAAAATAGTCACCAGGTACATCGGCAAATACAAAGCGTGTGATTTAATTACTCCTAAATGTTTGTATGTGTATATTTTGTGTCTTAACTGTTGATTCTCTGATCTGTGTTGGTGACTTCAATGGTTGGTGATTTAGGGCTATACAAGAATAAGTTGTTGTTGTAATGTTTGAAGTTTTGTTAGTTGCTTCTTAAATGTTGCACATAACACACAATATTAATGTGACCAAATTTAATCAAACAGTGTATTGATGTGTTTTGACTTTTTTTTTCATTAGCATAAATATTTTGTGTTCTGGTTAAAATGAAGCCAATGAAGTCTGGAATATGCTTCATAGAATGACACAGTGAAGCAACTAAAGAAGCAGTTCTGTATTATCCTAAGTCCTTAGCAGCTCCTGAAGGTTGGCCTTCTGTTGAGGAGAAAAAACAAGGTTGTTTTAATGCTGGGGCTGCTGTCTCAAGGCCATCTTTTCACAACCCATAAGCATGTCCATGTCATTGCAGCTGCAGTATTAGATCTGTGACTCTGGGGGCCCTGCTCTCACACCAAAGCAGATGTTTGCCAGCTTTGTGGGTTCCAGCTCCGTTCACCTCTGGGCCCCTTGCAGTTGGTCTATATCTTTTTTGTTGTAATTATCCAATAATTTAACATTAAATGACCCGGTGACTGGCAAAAGTAAATCAAAGTCATTGTTTGTTCTAATCATCATAAACACAATATTGTGATGTATATTGTCCTGTGACATCAATATCAGTATATCGATATACTGTGACTTTACATATCTACTGATACCTAATATTAATTGACTGATTTTTATTTTATTTTTATTTATTTTTAAGCTAAAACCCCATGACATTTCTTGTTACCAGCAAAAATTCAACTGAAACGCCTAATCAAGGTACGGGCGTAACCAGTATGATTAAACTAATACCATATTTAACAATATATTCAATATCTTTATCAATATCTAATACCAGTGTTGTATTGGTGCATCCCTACACTAGATGCCAAGGCTGTAAATATCACAAATTAACGTTTAGGGTAATTGTTCTGCCTGCTACTTCCAATAAAATAATTCTCTGCTCACAAATTTGTCTATCCAACATTCTTCCCTTGGCTGAGTTGTTGTGAAATCTCAAAATTCCTATCGGCGTGGGGATGAAATATTCTGACACCACACAAGTTGTGCTTAGTCTTGGTTGGCGTACACAAAAACAGCTTTGCCACCAGTCAAAATGAAAGTGCATGTAGCAGAAAATGAAAGGAGATGTGGTTATCTGCCAAACTGTGATAAACACGCATGCTCCAGAGGCTTATGGCAACACTCCACACGTTTCAGCTTCTGCCGCTCGACACTCCGTATGCCATTCTTATCTCAGGTTTCACTTCCATTCCCCTTAGGCCACAACCATCACCTGCAGTCTCACTGATTAACATTGTAAAGAAATTATTGAATCTCTTGAGCCTAAAGTTTCAAAACAGAAAGCAGATAATCATGAAAATGAGCACAGCCAGGGCCATTATAAATGTTCATACAGTAGAGCAGAAACCCAGTGCCAGGGAACACATAGGCCCATATCCTCATCCTGAGAGTCACCTGTCTTTATATTTTACTTGTATAAAAACATTCACCTTCTGAACACATTTGCATAATTCCATTCAATTCAATTTACTCTTGTATAGCCCTGAATTACAACAGTTAACCGTTGAAATTTCCAACACAGATCAGAGAATCAAACAGTTCAAACACAAAAAATATAGGACACTACGTATTGATCCATAGGGGGAGTTCGACCAATGTCCATGATTGTTGATGCATGTCCATAAATGTTGTAGAATGAGTGTCCTGGATCATCACCACAGTCCTTTTTGTTAGACTACTGACAGTCTAACAGACCCTCCTGCATTGGCGACGAAAAGCTCGAAACCCAGTGGGAGAATATTGAGAAACCTGTGTGAGGTCCACATAACTGCTTTAGACCCTCTGCAGTCCGTCTCATGTCAGTACAATCATCTTTAGGAGAAGAAAGTACTCTTACAGCACGTTCACTGTATTGATCTCTGCTCTACAAGGTTTCAGATGTCCATGTTCAAACTTTTCATATTAGTGCTCCTGTTTATTCATTTACATTATGTTAGTGGAAGCTTGGGCTCTAGACAGGAGGTAATTTCAGACGGACCCATATCGCAAAACTGTCTCATGGCTGCACTTGGACACCAATAAGTATGTCCATATCATTGCAGCTGCAGTATTAAGGCTGCATTCTGGGGGCCCAGCTCTCACACCACAGTGGATTTATAGAAGATACCAAGCTGGTATACACATTTTGTATGTATTTTTTCTTATAAATAATATGTTTAGTTTTTTCCAACAGAAAGAATTGTGTGAAATGGGTCTTGTTAATAAGTGATGGAAGGATGGAGCGTGAGATTGACGGACATATCGATGCAGCGTGCGCAGTGATGCGGTCGCTGTATCGGACCTTTGTGCCAATGAGGAAGCGGAGTTGAAAGGCAAAGGCTCTCGATATACCGGTCAATCTTTGTTCCCTTCCTCACCGTTGGTCATGAGCTTTGGGTGATAACCAAAAGTGGTCGAAATGAACTTCCCCTGCAGAGTGGCTGGGCGCTGCCTTCGTGAGTGTGAGGATCTTAGTCACACTGGAGGAGCTTGAAGTAGAGTCGCTGATTCTCCACTTATAAGAAAGAACCTTGAGAGGCACCATGTGACTTTGAGCTTAGAGCTGATTGGCTGAGTGAGGGTGGTTCTCTTTTTTTCACTTTTCTGTCTGAAAAAGTGCCAAAGGTGTTATATGAGAGGCTATAAAGACGTATAAAATAATTAGGGCTGTCAAAATTATCGCGTTAACGCACGATAATACTTTTTTTTTCATTAATTGCATTAAAAAATGCAACGCGATTGACGCATGCCCATGCATCCCATAATAACACTAAGAGCCGCGGACACATGTGTGTGTGAGATGGTGACAGAGCAGGTAGGCCTTCTGGGAATCCAAGTTTAGAAAAAATACACGCATGAGGCACTTTACTAGAATAGGCACTTGCTGAGCTGAGCTGTGGGCGTTCTGGACAGCAGTTCCCACCTGCAGCGGCTATGATCACGGCGAATGGCGCGGCTGTAAAGTCCTAGCCAAGACCATACACGCACAGAACAATTCTCTGCTTGTAATGTACGTGTCTTTGCGTAACGGGTGCACAGAATAAATACAGCGCCAGGAGACTGGACTACAGAGCCTCAGTCTCCTCTGTGTCTTCTTCCGAAGCGTACTTTCTAAATTAAAGCTGGGGTACCTAATTTTCCACCAGTTCATGTTGGTTGTGCCCAAAAGTAAAATGTTGTGAGCAAATCCAACAGATTTTATGACATTCTGCATTTCAGACTGTTTTGAAATGTCCCTCATCTGTAACAAACAATAGTCCAAACCATTAATGCCATTATATATGGATTTATTCTTGTTATAATAAACAAATACAGTACATATGTACACTATGTTGTCATTCGTCATGGTGTCATCTTTCCATTCAAACAAGCATTTACAGAAAAATATGGCATCGTTTTGTCGATAGTTCGAAATGCGATTAATTAAAATTAATAAATTTTGAATCTGTAATTAACTCGATAAAAAATTTAAATCGTTTGACACCCCTAAAACTAATATCAATGGCTGCTTTTGCTTGGCATTATGGCCTTCATCACATAATAGCGGCTCACACACAAAGCATTTGGGAAATAATAGTTCTGTAGTTTGTGTTGACTGTAAAGTTATTTTACTTCTCGGCTTAATATTAACAATATTCATATGTATATATAGCTATTATAAATCTAAACTTATTGAGGGTATTAAAATGAATAGAATCTAAATTGCTACCCTTGTCACTTCAGTGTATCGTTGCATCTTGGTTACTGCCCCACATGGACCGCTGACCACTTTCACTTTCCAGGCCCAGTCCGGCTCATCTCTGAGCCATCTAAATGGTACAAACAAGGGCCATGCTATACTTACAAAAATAGCTTCCCACAACCACGAGTGTAAAAACCAGGTTTGCTACTTGCACATTTCCCAGAAAGTTTTGTAGTGCAACGAGTGAATTAGTTTTCTCTTGAATTTCAGCTGTAGTAGCTTGACTCACAATCAGAAGCTTGACTCACAATCTAAACCACACAACAATGTATCTACCTTCCTCCCAAGGTGCAAAGTATTATGGTTCTGCCTTGTGTATCATTTGGGAAGGGTGACAACTGCAATCCTGTTCAGTCAGTCAATCAGGTCCCCACTCAAGGCCTCAGTTGTTCACTATGAACACAGTCCATTCCACACTGGTACCAAGCTGAGCTCTTACCTTTGTAGAAGCAGTCGTCGTTGTGCAGGATGGTGATATTTTGTGCGCGCAGACACGAGGCTCGGTGCAGCTCACAGTGGTTGGGATAGAGCTGTCCGTCTGATCCACAAACCGGCTTGTAGTGAGGCTTGCACTGGTCCAAGCAGCGGCACTCCCCCAGGCCGGTCTCCTCGTCCACCACACAGTGTCGGCCCAGACCGCAGTACTTGTGTTCGCAAGGTTTGGGGAAGCCATTGTGCCCCATCAGACCTGCAGAAGAGAAACAATCAAGGGGTTAGAGGGGAATGAGGATGTAAGGAGGGCTGCATACAACAACTAGTTTTTATTCAAGTATTCTACCAATGAATCATACTTTAATAGAATAAAATAATGTACTTAATGTTATTTCTACTGAAATAATGTCAGAGTGTCACAACAACACAATCCATCCATCCATTTTCTTCCCCTTAATCCATTTCTGGGTTGGGGGTGGCAGTCAGAGCTGCACACAGTACACAAAGCACCAGCCCCTCACTGATCCTCCTGCAGGTGGTGAGTCCACAGGAGGACGGCTGCTCTGTCAGTGACAGTAGTCTTGAGCTTTCACCGGGGACTTCAGGCAAAGTGGGGTTGAATGTCTTGCCCGAGGACAAAACAACAGCAGACATCAGTAGGCCGGAGTCAGTGGAGAAGGGAGAAAGGGCAGGCTCCTTTTGTGGCACCGGCACCTGCCACAGCTGATCAGTGGCATGTACACAACAAATGGCGTTTAAAACGGCATGTGGACAACAAGTGGCGTTTAAAACGGCATGTGGGGAATAAATGGCGTTTAAAACGACATGTGGGGAATAAATGGCGTTTAAAACGGCATGTGGACAACAAGTGGCGTTTAAAACGGCATGTGGACAATAAATGGCGTGTAAAGCGGCATGTGGACAACAAGTGCCGTTTAAAACGGCGTGTGGGGAATAAATGGCGTGTAAAGCGGCATGTGGACAACAAGTGGCGTTTAAAACGGCATGTGGACAACAAGTGGCATTTAATACGGCATGTGGGAAATAAATGGCGTTTAAAACGGCATGTGGGGAATAAATAGCGTGTAAAACAAATACAGTTGAAAGCAGCCTGTACAAAAGACAACAAGCAGCTGTATTATAGATAGTGGTCCAGTGGCTCAGATGGAAAAGCACAGGTCTACGGTGTTGATGGTTGCTAGATCAAATCCCCAGTGACTACCAATGACATTTGCTGATGTTGGGTCCTTGGGCATAACACTTCATGGAGAATGTCAGAAGTGCCATAAGTTGTTTGAAAAATGTAGTTTGAGTTATAATAAATTAAATTCATAATTTGTTGAAAGTTTGTTGAATGTTTGACTTAATTTCATGTATTATATGTGGTTTAGATTCTGGAGAAGTGTCTATTGCTGTGGCGCAGTTGGTTTGTAACCGTCTCTCATGCGAAAGATACCTGGTTCAATTCCAGATCTGGTCTTTATTTTTTTGTTGTCAGATTAAATACAAATTGAATATGTATAAATATATATTTCATACATATGGTTATGTGTTGTTCCAATAGTAATCTTGCATTAGGATTAATATTGCATCATCGTTAGGGTAAAACTAAATGATGTGTAAAACACTCAAGACACAATTTTACTTAAAACCACCTGGTGAGTGGTATAGTTGGTGTGTGTCCGCCAATCATGCTAGAGTTCGCAGATTCAAATCCAGCCAAGATCAAAAACTTTTTTATGACGGTTATTTCTTTATACATATATATATCTATAAATATCTATATATATCTTTATATATATATATATACAGTTTTTATATAACTGCCATTAAAAAAAAAAACTGTACTTTGATTCGATCTGCCAATCTCACGCACTATAGACGAATGTTTAATGACTGCGCCACTTATTTTGTGTTTTGGCAAAGAAAAAACCTAAAGATTCTATTGTTGTTTTAGGACATTTCATCAAGAATGGAGCCAACCAAAGATGGTGAAGAGTGATGGATTGAAAAACACAAGCAGAAAGTTGTGTAATTGGAACATGAGGTTTCATCTCTATATTGTTAAAATCTTCATGTCTGTTCTTGGACCGTTTAAGCTGTGTCTTATACTTTGCATTCTTTTATAAAAAAATATATGTATTAATGCTCTTTCTTATTGTTCCATGTTTCTGATGTGGTTTTATTAAAGAAGAGAGAGAAATAAAATGATTTTTTCTTTTGTTTTATTATATATATATATATATATATATATATATATATATATATATATATATATATATATATATATATATAATGTCATACATATTAAATTTGTATTAAATCTGACAAAGAAAAAATAATGACCTGTCCTGGATTTGAACCAGGTATCTTCCGCATGGGAGACAATTACAAACCAACTGCGCCACTGGATGACACAGCTTATGTGCAATTTAAACTATATATAATACATGACATTAAGTCTTTCAGCAAATTTATGCAATAACATAAATTATTATAACTCAAACAACATTTTTCAAACAATTTATGGCACTTCTGACATTCTTCATGAAGTGTTAGGCCCAAAGACCCAACATCAGCAAATGTCATTGGTAGTCACTGGGGATTTGATCTAGCATCCATCAACACCGTAGTCCTGTGCTTTTCCATCTAAGCCACTGGACCACTAGCACCACTAATGCTGCTTGTTGTCTTTTGTACAGGCTGCTTTCAACTGTATTTGTTGCCCACATGCCGTTTTAAACGCCACTTGTTGTCCACATGCCGTTTTAAACGGCATTTATTGCCCACATGCCGCTTTACACGCCATTTATTCCCCACATGCTGTTGTAAACGCCATTTATTGCCCACATGCCGCTTTACACGCGATTTATTCCCCACATGCCGTTTTAAACGCCACTTGTTGTCCACATGCCGTTTTAAACACTACTTGTTGTCCACATGCCGTTTTAAACGCCACTTGTTGTCCACATGCCGTTTTAAACACTACTTGTTGTCCACATGCCGTTTTAAACGCCATTTGTTGTGTACATGCCACTAATCAGCTGTGGCAGGTGCCGGTGCCACAAAAGGAGCCTGCCCTTACTGGGAGAAGGTGCGATCAAACCAATGACCTTCAGGTTCTGTCGCCCCAATTTATTTTTCACATAGACTTTTTTTTTCTATGTGACAAAAAAAATCCAAAATGAGTTCTCACTGATTTCATGTCATTTTCCACCCCTTTATTATTCCATTTCTGGGTCGGGGGGGGGGGGGGGGGGGGGGGGGAGAATCAGAGCTGCCACCCAAGTCTCATAGCACCAGTCCCTCACGGATCCCCCTGCAGGTGGTGGGTCTCACTGATTTGACTTTGAAAATGATAGTATGATATAAAAAGAAAGCAGATTTTCCGAGGCATTGTTTAAGTTATGTTGTTGCGATGTTGAAGAGCTGCTCAAAGCTTCTTGTGCAACATTTTTGTTACATTAGAAAACAAACTTGTTCAAAATGTTTCTGAAAATAATATATAACAAAGTTCCAGCTTTGGTTATTTTTGACAAACGTAGGATATCCGCAGAACAAGACCAAATGACCCAAACGTCTGTAGGCAATACACAATCTAAAAGACTGAGACGGTTCCTTCCACAGATTACAGTGAATACGATTAATACTTAATTCAATCGGAAGTTGCAGTTTGAATACATGTCTTCAAACCAGTGAAGAACAAGTATTTGCGTAGCACAATTCACACAGATACATTCTCAATATGACTCAAAAACTGAGGAAAACAAGACTGCTCAACTCAAATGACCCATGTATCATCTTCTGCACATTAACAGAAGTAAAAAACCGTTATCATTGAACATTCAGGAAACAGGACCTTAATACACAAAAGACGTTTGACATTTTCTCTGAAAATCTCACATGATTGCTGAGTTCCCGGCACATCACTTCAAATACAACAGACTTGAGTAACAAAAAGCAGACAAATAGAGTAACATAAACCTCAGATGTAAATTACCAGAGTAAACTCAGAGAAAACACAGAGGTGAACTGAACAGATTATTATTCAATAAAATATTGCCCCGATAAACACCATCACTCTCTCAATAGATTATTACCTATTGTAAATGTTTTTAGTAGTGCATGTTCTCCCCGTGTCTACGCAGGTTTCCTTCGAAAGCCCAGAAGCTGGAATAAAAAATCGGACCTACTTTCTGTGACACACAAACTCTAACCGGAGCGGTGACGGCAGCAGACCAGCGCACATTACATCTCCATTACATTCCTGCTTCAATTTAGATTTTGGACTCCTGCCAATCCAACGCAACAGTACCCTCCCAATGTTATTTACCAGTGGAATATTTGCATAACATCCCATCCCTGTCGGTCCGCTCCCCTCATCACCCACTCTCTGCATCGGACACTGACCTGATTGGAGCCAGTCAATTTGCCAGTGCATTCATTCCCGGCGGAGGTCTGGCACAATGATTATCTGCAGCAGCGGTGTCACGCGGCTGGGACTGGGTCAGAGAAGGTCCACACCAGACGCCACTGACAAACAAGCATGTACAGCCTGTGTCCGCTCAACCGTGGCTATTATTATGTGACGAGACACGGATGGGTAGGTGTTTTTGCCAGAAACTCCTGGTAATAGTATGTAAGAAGCTTGATAGTTGGAATCATAGTGAATTCCTATTTTGCAAAATGGTGGAAAAACAGATGGCAGCAGCAATAGGACTGGCCTCGCTGAACAGGTGTCATTGTACTATGAGAAAGACCCGGGCCATATTTGGTTTGGTTAAATTGATCTTCAGATTCCTTCATTTGCTTTCCCATTTTCAGTAAAACCACATTGGAATACATGTAAAAAAAGCATTGGAATAAAACAAGTTCTGGAAGCAATTGTGGCTGTGAAATCAATCAACAAAGTGCAAGGTCATTAAAGTGCTTTGTTCAATCTCGAATGAACAATATCTTCTGCCAGAGGGAAGAAGCTGGAACATGGCTTTTCTAGGGGCAAGATGAGTCATTGATTATTTTATAAGCTTGGTTTGTGTTCTTTTACTTACATATTGTTCTATCACTGAGAATCTGGTAAAAGTTAAAGGTTGTGTTATTAGAAAACTTGAAATCTTTTTGCACACACAAAAGAAAGAGTGAGTCACTATTGGAGGGACAGAAATGTGAAAAGGAGCATCCTGCCAATCAAAAAGGCTCTTTCTTACAAGGATGCTGAATATAAGATCTATTTGATTTCACATTTCATTAC